TATCTTTTTGTTAAAACTTGCCGAATTAAGATATGATATCTATTAGGATTATGTTGCTGGCGAGAATACTGATGATTACCCTTCGGGTTCACCATGTCAAACACACGTTAAATTGGTGACCAATGTGGCAGACTGGTATGCCATTACACAGGCCCTCCAAAAAACCCTCCACAACGAAGAGCAAAATGCTCGTGTCGAAGAGTTCTTTACCCTCGGCGTTTAGGGCCCCAAGAGACATTTACGGCAGCTATATTCGTAAATGAAATTTTCTTAACTTTGCACCTCTTTGGTGGACACAATCTGAACTAAAATGGTGCTATAAGTGTACTGTCTTTGGAAGTTTCAGAAATGATGTATCCTCTCTAGCCTGCCAAGACTGTGTTTAGGTCTCAAGTTGACCTGGTTTGAGCACAATTATCAAAAAGGGGCAAATAGCAATGGGGACTGTATACTGAAGATTTTTTCACACTCACCTGGTACAAGAAGTACTGATAACTTATAAGTATACTTATACTAAATATAAGTAGTGATGAGAAAATAAGTGGCTGTGTGGCGAAGGCGTAACTTGGGTCACCACGATGTGAACGATCCGATCGCGATTTCCATCGGGGATACCAATGAAAGGCGGGGCCGAAGCTGCAGCTCGCCCGAGAGGAAAGCCTTTTATGAGATACGATTAAGTGTGATTGAATGGCATAAAAAGATTAATTGTCTATCCTTAAATTAACGTTGGTGACCTTGGATGATTGAGTATTCATTTAAGGATTATTAAAAGTTTCGAAGCATACTCATATTGAGAACATTGGTCATCATTCATCACAAATGGGCAGGAATAATTTTGATAATAATATTCATGTTTTATAGTCTTGATTCGACCTGATTTTCGCAACTTGGTGGAAGCATCTTATGAAACTCACTTAGTTCCGTGTCCTCTGCCACAGTATTCGTGGCGTCCAGCTTTGGACAATTGACTTGGTACATTCTCAAACGTTTCACCGGCATCGTCGGTGAGTGGTGCCATCTTCAGCACAGAGTTACAGAGTTGCCTTCATTTGTCACTTTGATACGTTGTAATTCGGCGTTGGTGGTGGCACCTCCCACTGACGATATCGAATACGATGCCGACGAGATGTATGGAAATGTATCAAATCAACATTTTGATGCTGGAAATCACGAATACTATGACAGAGGACACAAGATTATGTAAGTTCCACAAGGTGTCCCTGACGTTCCGACCAAGTTGCGAAAACGATGCTGAACCAATACTATAAAAGTTAAGGGAGACTGAGGCCAAGCAGAAAGCCACACCATCTTGGTCTTCATATCTAAAATTCACATTTTATGTTTATATTGAATTACCTGCATTCTTCTAAGAATGACCCATTTATTGCTTTGGACCTCTTATCAAGCGGAAATCAAAGAGAATTTCTGAGCTTTTCTGAAAAAGCTAATGAACATACCATCCTCTTATTTTGCTTCGACAGGTATCTATGGTGAAACCCACTTAAGCGCTAATGTGAACTCTTTTATTGCTGTCATATTTTCTCCCGGACGTCTATCTGGCACCTCGAAAGTCGATGTAAATGTACCAAGTAAATGTTGTCAGAACGCTCGAAGAATACAGGCTGTGTTCTTGAATGATTAATGAAGAAGAGGTCATTAAAAATCTTAATTGCTACTTCATAGCACATAGCAACTATCTGAATTCTGGTAGTGTTTTAATTTACAGGAAATCAATTTAAATTTCATACTTGGTTCTAGTGGCGGGAAGGCCTAGATGAACACATCTTGTCAGGAGTCCATAGTATGCATGATAATGTCCAGAGTTGGACTGTGGACTTGGTACATTCCCAGACGTTTCTCCAACATCGTCATTGAGTCTTGTCATACTCGGCACCAAGACCGATATGATAAATTAAAATTAAAATTATGCTATTAGTTGTGCATGCATATAATCGGTCATTTTAGCAGTTTCCCACATTCTCTACCTTCACTAAAGCCAGCCCTCTTATTCATCAAAGTCATAATAATGCTTTGCTACAAATTTTCAGATTTCTCTGACGATAGCAACAGTCTCTCCTACCCTCGACGAAGCGCTCTTCTCCTGCGCTCTGCAACAACTGAGACAGGATAGCCAAGGGAACACTTCCTCTACAGTCTTATTGGTGTTTCGTCGATCCATACTTTCCAGTAACGACTCAAAGATAGAATACGCGACGTTGCAGCAAATCGTGGCGGACGCACTCAACGAGGGTAGTGACGAGACTACTGATAAGTATGGCCTCGGCTTCAGACCGAAATTCAATTCAATCATATTGCAAAGTAAGACTCAATATTCTTTCATTAAATGGCCTACAGAGAGAAAGTTTAAGTCGGCCGAAAGTACACTCTAAACCCCAGAAGAATGAGAGCACGTGATACGAAAGGGCCATATGACTTGCCGACAATGAAGTTCCATAAATCTTCTATCCGAAAAGTCAGTCATCCTTAAAAGTGGACTTCACCTTAAACCCCCACATGCGTGTGCATCGCTATGCGAGCATGTAACTAGGCTATCAACAGTGCTTTTTTCTTTCCAACACCAATTCTGGTTGCTATTGGCAAGGTTTTTGATATGCGAAGGAAGGTTGGGTTTCGAGGAATCGCTTGTTTTATAATCGTTGAGCTTAATTCCATTTCGAGTGAAAGTGTTGGGTGAAGAGACTCGAAGCTCGGTTCCACCAGAAGACGACGAAGTATTCCTCTTGACCAGCTGTCGATTGGCCTTACTGGAACATTCATGCTGACGCTGTTTCCAAGGCAATATCTTTCGAGTCCGGTGAAAAGGTTCTAAGCTTTCGTCCGTCACATGACGAACATCATCAGAGCATCGAGGGTATCATCGTCACAACCAAATTCAAGCTAACGAGTCAAAAAAACTAACCGGAAAATCCCTAAAAAGTGGTATATATACTCTACATCTTTGATCAATTATAAAGTGAATTGGTTAGTTAAGGTCATATGTCAACCAAACCACTTTATACTTGATCAAAGAGGCCAGATGTAGAGTAGATATACCACTTTTTAGGGATTTACTGGTGAGTTTTCTTGACTCTTTAGCTTGAATTGGGTTGTGACGATGATACCTTGCTCTGATGATGTTCGTCATGTGACGGATGAAAGCTCAGCACCTTTTCACCGAAACCGAAGGATATTGCCTCGGAAACAGCGTCAGCAGGAATCTTCCAATAAAGCCAATCGACAGCTGGTCAAGAGGAATCCGCCGTCGTCTTCTGGTGGAGCCGAGCTTCGAGTCTCTTCACCCAACACTTTCACTCGAAATGGAATTAAGCTCAACAACAAGGTTTTTTATGATGCCAATACGTAGGTATGACGAAAAATGGGTTTATAAGGATCCCTAAAAGAT